ACCACAGGGCAACATCACCACCTCCACACTAACACTTAGACACACGTGCAAGGAGCTGGATGCCCTCACCCTAGCTCACTTCTTCCCTGCTACCCTGACCAGTGGGCCCCTGGGTCCCACTTCCCAGACGAGGAATCTAACACATAGAGGGTTACAGAGACACCGAAGGTGTGCAGCAAGAATGTGGGGCCACCCGCTCACCAGAAGGAGGGACTACAGACACACGTGGGTCTGATGAGGCACCTGATCTCCTAGAATTCCCAACAGGAGGAGACGAGTCCCCATCTCTGAAGGGTGAAATTCAGCCCCCCTCCTGGCTGAAAAGAGGACAGGCCAGAAGAACAAGAATCTTCTCAGAAGGGCAAACTGTCCCCCAGTCTTTCACACAGGGGTTCGGGGCTGAACTCCTCCAGAACCCTGGGGCTTAGTGAAGACAATCTAGGGCATAGCCAGAGAGGGCTTGTTAAGAAGGTTTAAAAAAGCAAAGACCACCAAGCCAGGAGCAGATGCCTCGGCTGAACTGTGCCAAACCCACTCACGCTACATCCCAGCCATGACTTCCCACGGAAACACCTGTGGCCGGCATGTCCCTCCCTCAGATACCCCGCCTCACCCGCCAAGAGCAGTGTGAGTCAGCGAGCCTGGGCCTCGTCCAGACACCTTTAGGGAAGATGGGCTGAGGAGCAAGGATGCCAAAGGCCCAACGTCTGAAGAGTCTCTGTGGCGAGAAGGTTCCTGCGGAATTCGGCCGGCCAGCCGGGTACCTCACAGCGATGGAATTTGAGCTGGGGAGGTGCGACTCTCCCGAGAATTCCACCTCCCCCTCCCAACACCCCGTGTGGCCGCAAACCTCCTCTCCCTCCAGGAGCTGGACCCGGCAGAGGGCCTGAGGTGGAGCTAGGAGGGGGCCCGCTGGAGAACAAGTGTCTTTTGTGCGAGTGAGCCTGCCACTAAGACCCCACCTCCCCTCTGCAAGCCCCCGGCCGAGGCGGCCACGCTCCATCCATCCCATCCCAGAGGTTCTGCTCAGTCATTAACAACCACCTCTACTAGGCAACGGGTTTTTTGTTGATCCCTCGAGATAGGAAAGAAGGAGAATAACCTTTTCTCTTTCTTTTTTCCCCCTTGGTTGCAGAAAAGAGAAGTTGGAACAAACAAGTTATGTAACACTGGGGCCAGTTTGGGGGGGGGGGGTGGACCGCAGTCCCTCCTGAGGACAGTTTCTTGAGTTGTGGGACCACTGGAAGGGCCAAGGGGGAAACAGGAAGCACCCCCACCCCTGGCCAAATGACAAAACCCTTCATGGGACAAAAAGGCAGATGCAGGCCCCTCCTGGCAGGCTGGAAAACAGCCTCAGAGACTAGGCCAGCCTCCCCCCAGCCTTTGACAGCACCACAAGTCTCCCCAAGAAGGCAAGGGACAGACCCGATCCCATACAAGGGACTGCCCACCCACCAGACTGCAAGCCCTGGAGAGCTTTCCCACACCCATCCCTCCATCCCTCCATCCACCCTCCCTCCCAGCCATGTTTGTTGAACATTTACTTCCTCCATGTGGGCCATCCTCCAGGCACATAGGATGGCACAAGACAAACATGCTTTCCACCCTCAAGGCATTTCCCCAAATAAATACACCAAGAAAGGTCGGGTGATGATAGTGCAATCAAGGACACACAACAGCCACGTGATCCAGCAATTCTGCTCCTGGTATAGAGCCCGAAGAACTGAACATAAGTGTTCAGAAAAAATCTGTGCACACATGTTCACAGCAGCACTAGTCACAACTGCCAAAGCTGGAACCAACCTAATAGTCCATGAGCTGATGAACAGATAAACAAAATGTGGTGTGTCCACAAAACAGAATATTAGCCAGTCATAAAAAGGAAAGGAGTACTGATACACACTTCAATGCGGGTGAACTTCAAAAACATTACACAGAGTGAGAGAAGCCTGACACAAAAGGCCACATATTACAGGATTCTATTTATGAGACAGATAAATTTATAGACAGAAAGTAGATAAACGGTTGCCAGGGCCTGGGGGAGGAGAAATAGGTTATGACTGCTATGGCTACAGGATTTCCTTTTGGGGTGATGAAATGCTTTGGAACTAGATAGAGGTAACAGTTGCACAACTCTGTGAATGTACTAAACGCCAGTGAATTGTACAACTTAAATGTTGAATTTTATGTTATATAAGTTGCATTTCAAAAAAACAACAGAATAAGGTAACCAGAAAAAGTGTTCTGGGGGCGAGTTGAGCTCGGGTGGTCAGGCAAGAGGCTGTGAGAGGCCATGACCTTGGCATGTGGAAGGATTAAGAGGAATGAGTCAGGGGCCAGCCTGGTGGTGCAGCAGTTAAGTTCGCATGTTCTGCTTTTCAGCAGCCCAGGGTTTGCCGGTTTGGATCCCGGGTGCAGACATGGCACCGCTTGGCAAAAGCCATGCTGTGGCAGGCGTCCCACATATAAAGTAGAGGAAGAAGGGCACGGATGTTAGCTCAGGGCCAATCTTCCTCAGCAAAAAGAGGAGGATTGGCAGGAGTTAGCTCAGGGCTAATCTTCCTCAAAAAAAAAAAAGAGGAATGAGTCACGGGCAGGTTGTGCACGAGGTCTGGCCGGGCCATTTGGAATAAATGAAGGAACAAATAAACGAACAATGCTACAAAGGCCTCCACATCTCAAAAGGATCCTTGGAAGACTATGGTGTGCCACAATCTCCATCAAAATCTGATCCTCTTTCTGTATGCTCCATCTTGCCATATTAGGGGAACTCACCCCTCTCTCTACACTAGCACTACAGGAACAAGACCGCCCAACAGTTGCTCCAGACAACAGTGACTGTTCACTGGGATGGAGGAAAGGGGACAAATGGGCATCTCAGGAATGGGGAAGACGTCTTTTAAGAAAGTGCCTCTATCCAGCCCCATGGCATGGGGGTTAAGTTCAGTATGCTCCACTTCAGCAGCCTGGGTTCATGGATTTGGATCCTAGATGTGGACCTACACCACTCCTCAGCCATGCTGTGGCAGCAACCCACGTACAAAGTGGAGGAAGACTGGCACAGATGTTAGCTCAGGGCTAATCTTCCTCAGCAAAAAGAAAAGTGCTTCCATTTAGAAAAGATTTCTTAGGGGCCGGCCTGGTGGTGCAGTGATTAAGTGCGCACATTCTGCTTCTCGGCTGCCCGGGGTTTGCCGGTTCAGATCCCAGGTGTGGGGGTGGCACCATTTGGCAAAAGCCATGCTGTGGTAGGCGTCCCATGTATAATGTAGAGGAAGATGGGCATGGATGTCAGCTCAGGGCCAGTCATACTCAGCAAAAAGAGGAGGATTGGCAGTAGATAGCTCAGGGCTAATCTTCCTCAAAAAAAAAAAAGGAAAGATTTCTTAGATATGACACCAAAAGCATGATCCATAAAAGAACATAGGACCTCATCAAAATGATACACTCTTTCCCTGTGAAAGGTATCATTAAGAAAATGAGGGGCCGGCCCAGTGGCATAATGGTTAATTTCGCATGTTCTGCTTCAGTGGCCCAGGGTTCACAGGTTCAGATCCCAGGTGCGGACATGGCACTGCCTGGCAAGCCATGCTAAGGCAGGCGTCCCACATACAAAGTAGAGGAAGATGGGCACAGATGTTAGCTCAGGGCCAGTGTTTCTCAGCAAAAAGAGGAGGATTGGCAGCAGATGTTAGCTCAGAGCTAATCTTCCTCAAAAAAAAAAAAAGAAAAGAAAATGAAAAGACAAGCCAGGGACTGGGAGAAAATATTTGCAAATCATATATCTGATAAAGGACTTGTTTCCAAAACATATAAAGAACTCTCAAAACTCAAGAAGACAACCCAAATTAAAAATGGGCAAAAGATTTGAAAAGACACTTTACTAAAGATACGAATAGCCAGTGAGACCAGGAAAAAATGTTCAACAGGATTAGGTATTAGAGAAGTGCAAATTAAAATGCAAATAAGATACCAGCACACACTTAGAATGGCTAATATTAAACACTGGCCATATCAAGTGTTGGCAAGGGCAGGGAGCAACTGGAACTCTCGTACAATGCTGATGGGAATGCAAAATGGTGCAGCCACTCTGGCAAACAGCCTGGCAGTTTCTTAAAAAGTTAAACCTTACACCTACCGTAGGACCCAGTCATTCCATCCTGGGTCGGTACTCGAGAGGATAAAAGTATACGTCCACATGAAGATGCAGACCCAGATGTTCACAGTAACTTTATTTTTAATTGCCAAAACATAAGCAACACAAGTGTCTTTCAACCAGTAAACAGATAAACAAACTGTGTCCATCCATAAGATGGAATACCACTCAGCAGTGAAAAAGCATAAACTTTTGATACTTGTGACAATATGGATGAACTTCAAAAACTTTCTGCTAAGGGAAAGAAGCTGGACATAAGAAGTCACGTATTGTATGATCCCGTTTATATAAAATGTCTAAAAAGGCATAACTATAGAGAGAGAAAGCAGATCGGGGTGTGCCTGGGGCTGGAGTTGGGAGCGGGGCTGACTGCAACTTGGCTAGAGGGAACTCTTTGCGGTGATGGATGCATTCTAGAAAACTGGATTGTGGTCATGGGTACACAACTCTATAAATGTATTAAAACTCAATGAACTGTCCAGCTAAAATGAGTGAATTGTATGGTACGTCATTAACTATACCTCACCCTTGCCCCAGGTTATCCCATCGCAAGACAGGCCCTAGGGTCTGCTGTCCCTTCTTTTCTCTCCCTTATGTTGCCACTTCATGACTGGTCACCAAGTCCTTCTGAGTCTACCTCCTGAATATCTTCCCAAATCCTCTGATCTCTCCTTGCTCCCCAGTGCAGGCCTCCAAAGCCCAACTCACCCACCTGGGCCCTCAGGCCTTTCCTACCAGCACCAGCCCAGGTCCCCACGACAAGGACTGACTCCAAAGCACATCAGTATCGACTAACTTCATCATTTATCACATTGACTGAAATCATTTGCTTCCGTAAGCTCACCAAATTTCCTCCTTGGCCATCCAAGGGTGGCGGGCTGTGCTGGGAGGCTGAGAGGGGTGGGTCTGGGCCACGCTGGCGTTCTACAATGGGAAGGAGGAGGGAGGGCGTGCTCCCTAAAGCAGGTGTTCTTCCCCTCGGAGAACTCAGAACAACACATACAAAGACCTACACTCTTTATGCCAATCTGGTGTTCAAGCAACCAGTCTCAGGACTTAGCCAAAGGGAAAGAGGGCCTCCCTCTGACCAAAGTGGGGGTGAGTTCTGGCTCCTTGGTCTGAGGGGCAGACATTGCCTCAAGTTCTTTAGCCTGAGGAGGGGGAATCTGATCCCACGGGGATGGTAGGGAGAAGCCCCAAGGATAGATCCTCCCTGTATTTTCTTTAGAACCTCAGGGCTCTCTCACCATCCTCAGGCTCTCAAAGACCCACTCTAGCCTCTCAGAACCCCTGCAATCCCCCAGGTCCCTCAGACCCCTCCCTGCCCATAAGGACTCACTGGGACCCCCAGGACCCCTCAGCCTCTCTCAGGTTCTCCCAGGCCCCTTAGGCCTCTTTCAGGCCTTCAGGTTCATTTGAGCCCCCTATCCCTAGCCTCCCACAGCCCTCATCCCTCCCAGGTTTGCCTTCAGAACCAGGACCACCTTTAGACACCTGAGGGTCTTTCAGCACTCCCCCAGGAAGCCTTGTGCCTCAGCCCCTCCAAGCTCCCCTCAGTCTCCTCCTCAGAGTCCCCAGGAGAGCCTTAACAACCTCAAGACTGCGCTTGGCCCCTGCTCAGGCCCTCTCTGCCTCCGCGACCCCTGAGCATCCCCAGTTCCCGCAGGGCCCCATCACAGGCAGGAGCCCCTGGTTTCCCTTCAGACCTACATGCTCCTCAATGCCCCCTCAGGTCCCTAGGGCCGCATGCAGGCGCCTCAGCAGCCTGGTCCCCCGGAAAGACCCTCGAGCCGGCCCTGGCCGTTCCCTAGCCCCTCAGAACCCCAGGACTCCCCACAGGTTACCCTGGCCCGGGGTAGGTGCGGGCCCACTCTGTGGGCCGGGTCTCACCTGCTCGGGCGCTCGGGGCCTGGGCCCGCGCCGAAGCCGCCGCCACCAGCGCCGCCGCCGCCGCCGGACTCCGCCATCTTCCCGCCGCCGCCGCCGCCGCGCGTTCGAGTGACGGGAGCCGCGCGCGCCGACCTAGGAGACAGAGACGCGGGGGGCGGGGCCCTGGGTGATGGGCGGGGCACGGTCTTAGGGGCGGGGCCTGATCGGGAGGTGGAGCCTGTCGATGGGCGGGGCCGAGCGAAGGCAGGGGCCAGTTCTACTGAGGGGATGAGGGGGGCAGGGCCTGAGATGAGGGGCGGGGACCATCCTTAGGAAGGGGAGGGTCCTGTCGGGGAAGGGGCGGAGTCCGTAGATGGGTGGGGACAAGCAGGTGGGGCCCGTTCAGTTGAAGGGAGAGGAAGGGCAAGGCCTAGAGCGAGGGGTGGACTCTTGGATGAGGGGCAGGGTCGGGTCTGAGGAGGCGCGTGGGATTAGCGAGACAGGGAGGAGGGGCGGGGGCATGGTCCACGGAGGGGGCGGGGACTGGGTAAGGGGCGGAGCCTGTCCTGAGACGGGGCTGGGCAGAGGCAGCGGGTGAGGTGGGGGCGTGGCCTGTGGCAAGGAGTGAGACGAAGGTGGGACTGAGAAGAGTGGATGGAGTGGGAAGGCGGGTTAGGAGTAGGGGCGAGCCCGATAGTAAAGAGGGGCAGGTCTAGGCGGGTTGTGCTCTGGGAAGGGGGAGGGGCGGGGCCGAGATGGGAGGAGGGGCATGAGAAACTGATCCAGGAGCTCTGAGAACCCCCCTGCCCCTCCCAGGATCACTCCTTCCCCAAGACCTCCCTCAGACTTGGGAACTCACTCAGTGCCCAGGCCTCAGACTTCCAACCCTCCCCTGTCCTACCTCCCGGAGCCTCCACCCTCACACCCAAGAACCGCCACCCTCAGACCCCAATTATCTGCCACAGATCCCCAAGCCTCCTGCTTCCCCCACAATTCTGGTCCTCACACCCCAAAGACCCTGCCCTCAGATGATCTCCCCATCCTCTGCTCAAATTCCAGCTCCCATTCACCCAAATCCTTGCCGGCAGACCCTTCAAACCCACATTTCCACCCCCAAAGTCCATTCCACCAGACCCAACCCCTTTGGACCCCCAAGCTCCAACCCCCCAAACACCCCAATCTTCAGCCAGGGCTCAGAGTCCTGCATCTGCGTCCTTCTTTCCTCTCTTTGTTCTTCTTCCTTCCTTTCCTCCTCTCTCTTGTTGCCTCCCACTCTGCTCTGGACCCCATGGAGCCCAGGGCCAACAAAGCCTCTGTAAAGCTTCCAGAGCCTTCGAGGTCACCCCCCACCCCCAACCCACTGAAAACCCAGAATCTCCACCCTGAAAGTGTCCAAGCTCCCAGGATGCCGGGGTCCAGCCTTGAGCCCATTTATTTCTTCACCCTCTGAGTTGGGAAACTCCCCCTTGTGCAGCCTCATGCAGGGTCCAGGGGTCCAGGTGGGGCTCAGAGCTCTCCCTCCAGTCAGCATTGGGAGAAGGGGGTGGACATGGGTCTGGAGACCCCAGAGAAGGGAGCAAGGGGCCTGCCTGGCTAGGCTCCTGCAGGTAGAACCAGACCCAACTGATCCATCTCCAGCAGAGGGCCAGGTATACGGTAGGTGCTCAATCATTTGTGTAAAATGCTCAGGAGTTGACACTGTACAAGTTCACAGAGACCAGATGCTGACGGGCAGACCTGCTGACCTCTCCAGAACGCAATAACTGCTCAATAGATGTTGAATGCATACATGCCTGAGCAGCTCTCTCTGAGTTCCAGCAAGCTCTGCGCACACACCCTCACCCACCCGCAGTCGGCCTGCCACTTGAGCCTTTGTTGCAGATGAACAACATGCAGGCATCAAACTCCACTCAGCAGAGACATACAGCTCACACGCCCGCCACACATACAGCTGCAGTCAATGGCATCCATATGCACGCACACTTCATAAACACCCAGATTCAACCCACATGTCAAACACACAGGCACACAGTCAAAGAAGAAGCAAGAAGAGGTTCACTGGGCCCCTGGCTGTGTGCTTACATGTAGCACACTACATATGGACGGTGCTATGGACGCACTGGGTACTCCAAGATCACGTGGCACAGGGCAACCAGTGCAAAGGCGCTGAAGCGGGCACATGCCTGGAGTGTTGTCTGGCAGGGAAAAATGAGGGAGAGGGGAGGAAAAGATGGCCTGAGCACAATGAGGGGTCCTCTAGGTCATAGAGGGCCTTGTGGACCACGGTGCATGAAATAAGGAGAGAGGGGGGGCTTGTGAGCAGAGAGAACGTAACCAACACGGACAATCAGGGGCAATATCTTGAATTAGGGACATCACATAGCCAAATATTCCAGGCCAAATGATGGGGCTTGTCCCAGGGTGGTAGCTGAGGAGTGGTGGGAGGTAGTCCTAGCTAGGATGGAGGTGGAACCAATAGGAGATGCGACAGATGAGATATGGGGAGAGGCAGAGCAAGGCCAAGGACTACACCCAGGGTTCTTGGCCTGATCCTGAGCAGTTGCGATACCCAGGTTGGAGCACAGGCAAGTGGAGGACCTGGAGGGCCATGAAGATTCCTGCACGTCATCATCCGATAATGATGACCTGTGGTCTGGCGGAGCCTACAGGGAGGGACATAGCAGGCAGCGTCCGCAGGCCTGGCCGCCATCTGGCCTGCAGCTGGCATGGCTCTCTCAGAGGCAGGGGCCTCACCACCTGCTTCTCTGCTCTGGACCAGCTGTGGGCCTCACGGCCCCAGGTCAGAGCTCGGAGGCCTCTTTGTAACCCCCAGGTGTTACAGAGGAGGAGATGGAGGCCGGGGGACGAGTGGATGCATTGCTTTCCGGCAGCCTCATGCTGTGGCCTTCGCCCACCCTGTCTGCCCTTCCCCACTGAGTGGCCTCAGAGCAAGCTGCTGGTGCTCCCAGGGCCCCCCTGTGCTTCTCTGTACACTGCACAGGCCAACAGTCATCAGCGTTCGCTCTCTGTGCTACTCCCCTTAACCTGCTCCACTTTTTACCAGCTGTGAGGGCTCAGGAGGCTTGCTCCAGCTCTTGCTGCCTCAGTTTCCCCATCTTTAAAATGTCCCTGTGAGACAGAGCAGAGGCCAGGATGAAATAAACAACATACAGCACTCAGGACAGCTCAGGCAGGGGGCCCAAAGTCCACACCAGCTGCTGGTATTACTGCGTCTCCTCTCCCACACCCACTCTCCCCCAGCCTTGCTTGATTTTTCTCCCTATCTAACAAGCTCTGTATTTTCATTTTCTTTGTCTTAAATTGAGACGTAAGTTCCATACCATAAAATTCACCATTTTAAAGTGAATAATCCAGCAGCATTTAGTACATTCTTAATGTTGTGCAACCATCACCTCTATCTAGTTCCAGAACATGTCCACCCCCCCAAAAGGAGACCCCATGCCCATGAGCAGCCACTCCGCTCCCCCCTCCCCCCTCCCCAGCCCCTGGCAACCACTACTCTGCTTTCTGTCTCTATGGATTTGCCTGTTCTGGACGTTTTGTGTAAATGGAAACATACAAAACATACAATACGCGTCCTTCTGGGTCTGACTTATTTTACTTAACATAATGTTTTTGAGCTTCATCCACATTGTAGCACAATTGTTCAACACGTTGTCAGTGTTTCATTCCTTTTCATGACCTAATAATACTCTATAGTATAGTTGGACCGCATTTTGTTTATTCATTCACTGGTCAATGGACGTCTGGGTCGCTGTCCTTTGGGCTGTTGTGAACAGTGCTGTTGTGAACATGCGTGCATGGATATGTTTGTGTCCCTGTTTGCGCTTCCCTTGGGCACACACCTGGGAGTGGAATTGCTGGGTCACAGGGCAGCTCTATGAGGAACTTTTTGAGGAGCTGTTACGCATTTCCTTTTCTTGCTTACCATCCATCCTCCTCCTGGTGTGTCAGCTCCCCAAGGGACAGGGACTCTGCTTTATCCTGGCTCCACAGAGCCCTGGGCAGCACCTGGCTCGTTAGGGAGAGACGTGACGCAGGAACAAATCATTGTGACTCTTGGTTTTAATTTTTTTCTTTTCTTCTTCTTCTCCCCAAAGCCCCCCGGTACATAGCTGTGTATTTTTAGTTGTGGGTCCTTCTAGTTGTGGCATGTGGGACACCGCCTCAGCGTGGCCTGATGAGCGGTGCTGTGTCCATGCCCTGAATCCAAACCGGCAAAACTCTGGGCCTCCGAAGTGGAGCTTGAACTTAACCACTCCGCCACAGGGCCGGCCCCTCACTGTGACTCTTGACTGGCAATAACTCTCAGGTTCTCTGGGTCTCAGTTTCCATGCCTGTGAAATGGGAATGAACTCGATCTTTCTCTTATAAGAATTACTCCCCCTTCCTCCAAAAACGCTCTGAGCCAGACTCTTGGATGTCCACAGTGTACGTGCCATGGGCCACTATTTATCCCCAAGAAAAGAATCACCAATTCTGCATTCCTTCCTCCCACTCCTGCCTCCACAGCTGCTCAAGGGCTGAGCCCTGGACAGCCAAGAAGGTCAAATGCAGAAAGGATGAGGAGCTCAGCAGTCACACGGGGCAGGCTTTGGGTTCTGGGCCTTAGGGAGCTGGCTGTACAACAGGCTGAGTCAGAGGCCGCTCTTGGGGACCCCCACTTCAGTTGGGTGCTGAGGGCTGATGCCCGTCCACAGCTAGGCAGGGCCGGGACTGCTGCCTAGAGGTGAGCCAACCTCAGGGGAACCTCCTGCGGGGGTGGAGTCAGAGCAGGCCCCAGTGACTGATTCTCTGCGGGAGTGGGCTCTGGGCAAGGGGAGGAGTCCCATCTTCCCCCTGTTATTGTGACTAAGGTAATGGCTGATATGGACCAAGTGCTCACAAGGGGCCTCCCAGGGCTTCTTCTTGTGAGCCAGGGGTCCCGCTAGCCCCTCAGGCCCAAGGCCACATGTGAGCATCCGGCAAAGCCCA